AGGAGGGTGTCGTCCAGGTCTGAGTCCAGCCTGGTGGAGACAGCATGGCCAATAGCCACGATACTGAGAACGTCAGCAACCGCAGGGTCCTACACAATAGGGGAAAATGAAAAGTGTTCATTTAAGAAGGTATAGTCGCAAGAAGGAAAGTAACTTCAAATCAAAAAAAAAATTGAGCTCTAGCGTGTCTGAGTCTTTGAGAAGCTGCTCGTTACACTGAAGAGAAGCACCAAAGGTGAGCGATAGCTTAGGCCGCGATGCCTATGGCTATCGGGGCTGCGACAAGTCGATGGCTGGCTCGCGACGTTAAGGTAGGTCGGCAGCATTGCTTGGAGCTACGACGACGGCCAGCAAGAAGGCAGCGGTGGTCTTCAACGCAAAATAGAAATGCTGGCTTGCCAAAGAAGAAGAGAGCCGCTGGTCATGGTGGTCTCTTGCTTTTTTGAAGAAGATGCAAGTTTAGTGAGAGAATGTGTGTGCCGCAGGATTTCAAGAAAAGAAAGAGGTATTGATTAGGTCTTTGTCCGTTTTCTTTAAATAGAAAAAAAGGGGAGGTGTGATGTTGGAATATTCCCTCAAAATATACTATTTATATATATATATCCATATATAGATGGATCTGTTGTATTGCCAAACAAGAAAAGAAAAAGCTTGGTTTGTGGCCTCTCAGATTATTCTACTCTCTCTATATATATTTATATATATAAAAGGCCTAGGTTATTTTAAGATTTATTTGGCTGTCAAAAAGTGGATTTTGAATAAAGAATTTTGGTAGTGGTCTTCAAGAATTGCATAAGCAAAGTCAAGTTTGACTCTAAAAAAATAATAATAATAATAATAAATAAATAAATTAGTGGACCCTTGGATGTTCATGGAGGATCAAAAATCTGGAGTCATGCAAGCTTTTCAGAGAATTGAAGAATTCAAGTTGACTTTCGAAAAAAAGAAATCAGTGGCCAAAAAAAAAAAAGTTTTAAAAAAAATTATAAATACAAAAAAAGTTATTTATTTATTTATTTAATATTACTTGTCGATTTCATCCGTAAATTGTGGTGTGTCATCAACTTTATCCATAGGCTCTGTCAAGACAACATATTTCTGAGGACGTGATGCGAAGCAGGGCCGAAGGAGTGACAATATGCATGTCCGAGAAATTTAAAATTTCTCATACACGCAAGGGGCAAATATAAGAGGAGTTAATTTGAACCCACTAAATTAATTAGGCCCAATAGTCCAAGGTTGGTAGACCTGAATTTATCGCAAGTCCAAGATTGGTGAGCCCGGATTTATCGCCATCAAACGGGCTGAATCGCTCTAAGTCTCGAAAGGGTTTGGATCCACGAACTTAGAGACTTACTCGAACTCGGACTCGAAAGGGTTCGAATCTACAAACCTAGAGATCCGAAGCACTTGGGTTCGGACAGATTCAAATGCAATCTAGAAGCCGCTCCATCAATGAGTCCCAGAACACTTGCGGGTTCGGAGCTTTCCGGGATCTACGCACCAGAACCATGGGCGTAATGGAGTTCGAACAAAGGACCCGATCCCGAGGACGGTGAGTGGAGATAAATTCACTCTTCAGTTAAACTAGCCTATACTCGGGTCGAGGTGGCATGACCCCGAGGGGTCCATGAGACCCGGCAATATTTAGCGGCGAGGGGTCCTCTAGAACTACCTCAACCCTTTGGGATGATTAGGGATCATTGGCTAGGTGTGGCTAAGAAGAAGGGTTCGCCGAGAGGCTGATCTCCTCTTCGAGGGTTTCCCTCTTCCTCGGAGAGGTCACCTCCTCGGACAAAGTGGTTAGAGAGAATATTCTCCATATGTCTTGCACATGGGCTCCATCCTACATCATAAGGTGCCTATAAATAGCACCCATCCATAGCTTTACAAGGGATGGATTTTGGAGAGATAACTTTTGGGAAATAACTAATTTCCCTTCTCCATTATCAACCTTAAGAGTGAAAGTGGGAGATCCATGGGAGAGCCCTATCATTATTCTCTCTCTAGCTACTTTGCCTTCTTCTTCACCCAATCTCTTATCTCCATCATCTCTTTGCTCTTGTGTTCTTAGTTGAGACTATTGAAGAATATAAGCCTCTCATCATCTTCTAGAGAATTCGAATTTTTCTTCAAGGATCTTCGAAGATCTTCGAATTTTTTTCAACGACGTTCTTGAGCCCTCTCATACACTACTAAACAAGCACAGCGGCTACACCTGCATTCTCAACCACGCTGGGAGGTTAAGAGAGACCAAGGGCATAATCGTAAATACATTCGAAGAGCTAGAATCCTGTGCGGTGAAGTCTCTGTCAAACTCGCCGGAATCACCGCCAGTTTACGCTGTCGGACCGTTGCTAGACCTCGTTGGGAAGGCCCGGTCGGGGAGCGATCGGGACATGATCGTGAAATGGCTCGATAAACAGCCTCTGTCGTTGGCGGTGTTCCTCTGCTTCGGAAGCCTAGGGTACTTCGGTCCACCGCAGCTGGCAGAGATCGCGACGGCACTGGAGAAGAGCGGCCACCGGTTCTTGTGGTCCATACGACGACCGCCGCCACAAGGCGAGTTTGAGATGCCGACAGATTGCAGCGACGATTACTAGGGTTTGTTGCCGGAATGGTTTCTGCAACTGACGGAAAACAAGGGAATGGTGTACGGGTGGGCGCCGCAGACGACGGTGCTGGGGCATGCGGCGGTGGGAGGGTTTGTGTTGCACTGTGGGTGGAACTCGATCTTGGAGAGCTTGTGGGTCGGTGTTCCGATCGTGACATGGCTAATGTATGCAGAGCAACAGATGAATGCGTTTGAGATGGTGGTGGATTTGGATCTGGCGGTGGAGCTGAGATTGGACTACAGGAATGAACTTGGTGGGAGCGGCAACAGAGTTGAATTGTTGGCGGCAGAGGAGATAGAGAGAGCAGTGAGGTGTGTGATGGATGGTGAGAATTTAGTGAGGAAGAAAGTGAGAGAGATGAGAGAAAAGAGCAGAGAGGCCATTGTGGAAGGTGGGTCTTCGTTTGGTTCGTTGAAGCGGTTGGTTGATGATATGTTGGGAAACCACCAACCATGGAAACTTTGTTAGAATTTTGTCAGGGAAAATTTTATTTCTTACTCAATTTCACCTTATATTTGTATCATCAATTTGAATAATTATCATTTTTAATGAAATGTATTATACCATGCAACAAAATATAACTAAATTATTTTGACAATATTCAATTTAACACAAAAAATAACTAATTCTAACTATTTATTATCCATAGATACAATCAAATTAAGCCAATCCCGTATACAAATATTTTTATGTACTCACATATGATATTTGATCAAAAGGAAAAATGAATCTTTTCTAGATCTACTTAACATCATAGGCTTGAAAAAAATCAGATTCATGTGGAACAGAAGGAATAATATATTTTTTTATTATTTATTATTTTTTTTATAAAGTAAAAACGAGACAATGTCAGAATTTACACCTATTTATATCTATTCAACGACCAGTTAGTTTCTTGATCCCACCATGTGTTACTTTTTTATTTGCTACTAATAGTTCGACATATCCAGAAAAATTGTTGTCCCACGAATGTAGTTTCGACCCTTGATGTCGGAAGTCGTTTCGAACTTTATTTATGTTTCGAATTTTATATATTTGAAATCCTAATTATGTTATTTCAATTTTATTTATATTTTTCCTGTATAGATAACTTTTTTCTTTCCTCCAACAACACCTCGCAACAAGATTGATCAAGATCAAAATTAAAATTATAAATGCTCCAAAACCAGTTTAACTCATTTATCAGTTGAACAATTTAAACACTCATATGCATCTCACTGGGCACATGATGAGGCAGTGGAAATCATAGACACTGCTCAATTCATAAAATGACATTAATGTTTAGATTAATACATTTGAAATAAAAGGTAATGGATATCATAATTATTTAAGAACAACTCAAATTTATATGTTGATAGATGTGGGTTTTAAAATATAATAAGTGGGTTTTTAGACAACAACTCAAATTTATATGTTGATAGATGTGGATTTCAAAATATAATAAGTCGGTTTTTAGATATGTCATTATTCTAACCTAAATAACAATATCAAATTCAAACACTTTGTAAGTCCGACACAATTAGATGGAAAATTATATGATGATTTTGGGAGTATTCTAATATAATTTTTTATTGATTGAAATAATTAGTGTTCATAATTTTGTATTAATTTTAAAGAGACACTATAACAATGTTTTGTGATGACACTACTAAAAAAAATACTTTTTGCGACCGCCATAAACCGTGGCAAATAATAAAAAACAGTCGCAAAAGACTTTTTGCGACGGCCCATGCGACGGCAAATGGGGGTCGCGAATATGGGGGTGGCAAATACTTTTTGCGACGGCAAAGCAACGGTCGCAAATTATTTGCGACCACCTAAACTACTTATGGCGATCCCTATTTTGCCGTCGCAAAAAACAAAGAAAAATACTAACATGATCTTTGGCGACCATCTTATTACCGTCGCAAAAAATTAAAAATAAAAATAAAAATAAATAAATAAATAAACAAATTGTGAAACATTAAAACCCTTTTACCTATCCAGCTGTTTATCAAACAAATTAGACAAATCAAACCCACAGCTAACCTCTAGATATTCTTCCTATTTTCGTCAAATATTAAAGCTTGAACAAAATAAAAACAAAAAATGTCACAATTAAACAATTACTTTTAATATGTGAAACTTTTTTTCATCATATTCCAGTTGGGGTAATATCTGTCAAAACACTTCCAGTATACAATACTACTAATAGAACTTATAAAAGGCATGTCAATGAAGCACAAGCATTTCAAAGCCCAAATGATGAACTAAAGGTTTAAGATCTAACACGAGGCCTTTAAAGGACTGGGAACATCATTGTGAGAAGACATAAAAATGCAATCAAGTAAAGACAACCAAACATGCAGAACTAAGCTTCTTATGGAGCTCATCCAATTCCGATTAATAGCATGAGAAACCACATGTGTTAACAGCATTAAAATCCACAAGCAAAAATAAAGGTGAATAACCAGTAGCAACAATAATTCTTTGTTCTCACATGATAAAAAAATCTTATTCCAATCTCTAATCAGAGTAAGAGGGGAAGGGGAATGGAGGCAGGATAAGACAAATCATTGCTTACTCCTAATATCCATACTACCCTTGTTTTTTACCGGTCATACCTGCAACCACCTGCAAAGATGCAATCCGAATAATCAAATTAGTTAAAATTACCCGCGCACAAAATTCTTCCATCAGGTACATATATATTTGAAGTAGTACATAAAATGCCCGTAACGTAAAAAATCACTTTCGAAATGTTGAAATGCATAAAAAAAAACCTTAGGGGTAAAGTACATGGTTTTTATAGGGGAAGAATCCTAGTAATTTTTCTAGGCAAGACATCAAAAAGGAGCCCAAAACTCCAGTTATCAAGGTCTAGAGAAAGCAGCTGGGAAGCACTAGGGTCTACAAAAGGCAGCTATTGGAAGATGCCTAGTGATTACAATAACATCCTAATCTCATCACACCAGCACCAAATATAATATAAGGCCCACCATTTGATAAGTCATACAGTTAATAAAATTGGGTCTCATAATTTTTTTTACACTAACTACTTATCAATAAATTTTTTAAGAATACCACGTGCTAACACAAATAAATGAGCAACAAATGATTTTGGTGCAAAGAGATTCCTAAATTGTATGCTACGCCAACGAAAATTTTAAACCATTTATCGATCAGAGTATAATTCCATTTCATCATCAAAGTACAACCTTCATAATCCACTAAAGCAATTTTTCCCATATTTCCTAAAGCAAAGTATGCAAGTCTGTTGCAGTATTTTATCATCATCAAATAGATCTTCAAAATTGTAAAGATCAAACAAGTAATATGGAGTACAGAATTTGATACCTAATAACATGAATATAATTTCCTACAACAATTGATTGTGCCATATTTTCAACTATATAGCATTAAAAAAAGATCTCTTACCGCCATCATAGTTGAGAAAATGAAACCTGTGGGAACAATAATGAAGAACTAAAATACATACCATATGCAGTGGTGGCAAATGGAAGGCGAACAACATGCTTCAACTTCTGGCTGAAAACATAGTAACCCTGCAAAATGGATGAGCATTTCACATCTAATCTAAGTAAGCAAACAAAAGTATTAGAGATCCCAACACCAATACACAATAAGAGAAACAAATCTGGTTTCTTGTTCCAGCTATAAATTACCCCTCTCCTCCCCAAAAAATAATTGATTGTGGATCAGGAGTAGTTTCATCCCTTAATATAACATAAGCCATTCATTCATGATTAGAAGAAAAATGATTTTATTTTATCCAATCCATGCTGCATTAATGACAACTTCCCAACATCCCAAAACTAGAGAACTAACAGAACAATATCACCCTTCCCACTTTCTGTACTGCCCATAAATTTTCACATACGCATGCATACATACATGTGGTTTATACATACACCTGCATGCACAAAGACAATTTCGTGAACTTATGTGCGTAGAACCCACCCCAGCGACAAAGAAATCAACCTAATACCTGTCTTTCTCCTCATACCCTTCCAAATAGGGTGGTTGGATGAAGTTGTACAAGTCCACAATCATCAATGGTAGTATTTAACCTGTCATAAGGATGAGAGGTATAACATGATTGGTATATCTTTCACAAGTTGCTTTTGTTGGCTTGCTGAGAGTTTGGTCCTTTCCTTGAAGATTGTTTTGATTTTGTAGAAATTGAAGTCGTGATTTGTTGTATATGATTTCTTTTCTTTTGTTTTCTTTATCTATTTTCATGTACAGTGTGTACATGGATTCATCGACACCATGCTCATCGAAAACAGAGAGGTATAGCTCTTTCTAACAACACCTATTTCTACTTGGTTTTCCTGATTTTTTGTTCTTTTCCCTTTCTTCTACTTACTTTCTCCTTATATATAGAGAAGCAACTTTCTTTTTCTCTCATTCTATGTCCTCTCTTTTTTTCATATGATCCATCTTTCCAAGCCTAAAGGTTAGGTTTAATGTCAATCCCATTGTTGTCATTCATGCCAAAAAAATCATGTTCATAACTATCTCACACTCAACAAAATCCATATAGAGTTCCAATTACTATTGGGGTCAATTACACTATGATCCCTCAACTATTAGGTTTAAGGACAATGTTTGGTAAAAAGCAAAATATGTGTAAAAACATGTAAACCATAGACATACCACAATTGCTACCACATCAGGATCATTCAGGTTGTGTGCCCTCTTCCAGAGACTCATCTTATCTATTCGCTCTCCTTTATGTGTCATCTGCATTTTTTTTCAAGTTAGGAGCTCCAGTCTTCACAACATAATAAGTAAAAAATGCAGCACTAGGTGCAGCCACAACTGCAGCCACAAGTGTCACACCAAGTGCACTAGGTGCGGCTGCGGCTGCAGCTACAGCAGCAATTGTAGTCACAGATGATGCCTTAGGTGCAACCACAAGATCAATACATTGAAACGAATATCTGAGAAAGATGTCCTTCCGGTCGTATGTGGAGGCCCACGAAATCCCCGATTAGAAGAATTCTTCTTAGCAATCGCCTATAACATTGGTTAGAATATCAAACATTAGTTATTTATCATTAAAACATTAATTAAAATTTTATAAAGAATACATATACCTGCACTTCTTTACTCGCCCAATATTGTACAAGTTTCCTCCACTGGGTTGGCACTATGTTACTAGGTACTCTAGAAGCAATGTCCGGATCATTCTTGAATGGAACCCAATACTTGGACTTTGTCTTGCTTTTATGATCTTTCCACGATGTCCTACAAAGTCGCATGCAAACCTCCTTGAATTCATCTGGACAGTATACCAAGTTGTCCTACAAAGCACAAATTGAAAGCCAATTTCATCCTCATAATTATAGAGCATACACAAATGCACAAGCAAGCTAATAATTAATAACTAAACACAATTAACAAGAAATCATAAATCAAATAACTAATAACTTGGAAAAATTCAAAAATCTAAGCATAAACCCTAACCGTAATTAGCAAAAAGGAAAACTATATACCTTCACCTCTTACCAAATATTCTCCTTTATATCAACATGCATCACATTCCAACTGAGATATGTAAGTGGGACTCTATGCCCGCTGCGCACGATCAACCCTAATTGTCCTTTCAACTTTTTGCCATCATCCTCCACTGGCTGAAACTTATCATCAAATTTTACTTGGATCTTAGTGCCTGTACCCCATTCCTTTATCCCTCGGGCAAATCCTCGACCTCGTCGTGTTAAGGTAGTTGATACTGTATATGGAGATAAAACAGATGAAGAAGATGCTCCATCCATAGTGCGAGGTAGCGAAGCACTTGCTCGCACACGTACAGCCTCATCTATAGTGCAAGGGACCTTAAAGGTCTTCCTCTTTCGCTTCATGCTAAAATGAAAGAAATATGAAAAAGTTAATACACAAGAAATATGGATATCAATTTACTAATAATATAACACAAGATATAAATATAAACAAATGACACAAATCAGTTTCAGAACAAATAAAACTTTAGCAATAAAGTTTACCTCGAAACATATGGAGAAGATGCTCCATCAATAGTACAAGGTAGCGAGGGACTTGCCCGCACACGTAAAGCCTCATCCATAATGCAAGGGGCCTTAAAGGTCTTCCTCTTCCGTTTCATCCTAAAATGAAAGAAATATGAAAAGGTTAATACACAAGAAATATGGATATCAATTTACTAATAATATAACACAAGATATAAATATAAACAAATGACACAAATCAGTTTCAGAACAAATAAAACTTTAGCAATAAAGTTTACCTCGAAACATATGGAGAAGATGCTCCATCAATAGTACAAGGTAGCGAGGGACTTGCCCGCACACGTAAAGCCTCATCCATAATGCAAGGGGCCTTAAAGGTCTTCCTCTTCCGTTTCATCCTAAAATGAAAGAAATATGAAAAGGTTAATACACAAGAAATATGGATATCAATTTACTAATAATATAACACAAGATATAAATATAAACAAATGACACAAATCAGTTTCAGAACAAATAAAACTTTAGCAATAAAGTTTACCTCGAAACATATGGAGAAGATGCTCCATCAATAGTACAAGGTAGCGAGGGACTTGCCCGCACACGTAAAGCCTCATCCATAATGCAAGGGGCCTTAAAGGTCTTCCTCTTCCGTTTCATCCTAAAATGAAAGAAATATGAAAAGGTTAATACACAAGAAATATGGATATCAATTTACTAATAATATAACACAAGATATAAATATAAACAAATGACACAAATCAGTTTCAGAACAAATAAAACTTTAGCAATAAAGTTTACCTCGAAACATATGGAGAAGATGCTCCATCAATAGTACAAGGTAGCGAGGGACTTGCCCGCACACGTAAAGCCTCATCCATAATGCAAGGGGCCTTAAAGGTCTTCCTCTTCCGTTTCATCCTAAAATGAAAGAAATATGAAAAGGTTAATACACAAGAAATATGGATATCAATTTACTAATAATATAACACAAGATATAAATATAAACAAATGACACAAATCAGTTTCAGAACAAATAAAACTTTAGCAATAAAGTTTACCTCGAAACATATGGAGAAGATGCTCCATCAATAGTGCAAGGTAGCGAGGGACTTGCCCGCACACGTAAAGCCTCATCCATAATGCAAGGGGCCTTAAAGGTCTTCCTCTTCCGTTTCATCCTAAAATGAAAGAAATATGAAAAGGTTAATACACAAGAAATATGGATATCAATTTACTAATAATATAACACAAGATATAAATATAAACAAATGACACAAATCAGTTTCAGAACAAATAAAACTTTAGCAATAAAGTTTACCTCGAAACATATGGAGAAGATGCTCCATCAATAGTGCAAGGTAGCGAGGGACTTGCCCGCACACGTAAAGCCTCATCCATAATGCAAGGGGCCTTAAAGGTCTTCCTCTTCCGTTTCATCCTAAAATGAAAGAAATATGAAAAGGTTAATACACAAGAAATATGGATATCAATTTACTAATAATATAACACAAGATATAAATATAAACAAATGATACAAATCAGTTTCAGAACAAATAAAACTTTAGCAATAAAGTTTACCTCGAAACATATGGAGAAGATGCTCCATCAATAGTGCAAGGTAGCGAGGGACTTGCCCGCACACGTAAAGCCTCATCCATAATGCAAGGGGCCTTAAAGGTCTTCCTCTTCCGTTTCATCCTAAAATGAAAGAAATATGAAAAGGTTAATACACAAGAAATATGGATATCAATTTACTAATAATATAACACAAGATATAAATATAAACAAATGATACAAATCAGTTTCAGAACAAATAAAACTTTAGCAATAAAGTTTACCTCGAAACATATGGAGAAGATGCTCCATCAATAGTGCAAGGTAGCGAGGGACTTGCCCGCACACGTAAAGCCTCATCCATAATGCAAGGGGCCTTAAAGGTCTTCCTCTTCCGTTTCATCCTAAAATGAAAGAAATATGAAAAGGTTAATACACAAGAAATATGGATATCAATTTACTAATAATATAACACAAGATATAAATATAAACAAATGATACAAATCAGTTTCAGAACAAATAAAACTTTAGCAATAAAGTTTACCTCGAAACATATGGAGAAGATGCTCCATCAATAGTGCAAGGTAGCGAGGGACTTGCCCGCACACGTAAAGCCTCATCCATAATGCAAGGGGCCTTAAAGGTCTTCCTCTTCCGTTTCATCCTAAAATGAAAGAAATATGAAAAGGTTAATACACAAGAAATATGGATATCAATTTACTAATAATATAACACAAGATATAAATATAAACAAATGATACAAATCAGTTTCAGAACAAATAAAACTTTAGCAATAAAGTTTACCTCGAAACATATGGAGAAGATGCTCCATCAATAGTGCAAGGTAGCGAGGGACTTGCCCGCACACGTAAAGCCTCATCCATAATGCAAGGGGCCTTAAAGGTCTTCCTCTTCCGTTTCATCCTAAAATGAAAGAAATATGAAAAGGTTAATACACAAGAAATATGGATATCAATTTACTAATAATATAACACAAGATATAAATATAAACAAATGATACAAATCAGTTTCAGAACAAATAAAACTTTAGCAATAAAGTTTACCTCGAAACATATGGAGAAGATGCTCCATCAATAGTGCAAGGTAGCGAGGGACTTGCCCGCACACGTAAAGCCTCATCCATAATGCAAGGGGCCTTAAAGGTCTTCCTCTTCCGTTTCATCCTAAAATGAAAGAAATATGAAAAGGTTAATACACAAGAAATATGGATATCAATTTACTAATAATATAACACAAGATATAAATATAAACAAATGATACAAATCAGTTTCAGAACAAATAAAACTTTAGCAATAAAGTTTACCTCGAAACATATGGAGAAGATGCTCCATCAATAGTGCAAGGTAGCGAGGGACTTGCCCGCACACGTAAAGCCTCATCCATAATGCAAGGGGCCTTAAAGGTCTTCCTCTTCCGTTTCATCCTAAAATGAAAGAAATATGAAAAGGTTAATACACAAGAAATATGGATATCAATTTACTAATAATATAACACAAGATATAAATATAAACAAATGATACAAATCAGTTTCAGAACAAATAAAACTTTAGCAATAAAGTTTACCTCGAAACATATGGAGAAGATGCTCCATCAATAGTGCAAGGTAGCGAGGGACTTGCCCGCACACGTAAAGCCTCATCCATAATGCAAGGGGCCTTAAAGGTCTTCCTCTTCCGTTTCATCCTAAAATGAAAGAAATATGAAAAGGTTAATACACAAGAAATATGGATATCAATTTACTAATAATATAACACAAGATATAAATATAAACAAATGATACAAATCAGTTTCAGAACAAATAAAACTTTAGCAATAAAGTTTACCTCGAAACATATGGAGAAGATGCTCCATCAATAGTGCAAGGTAGCGAGGGACTTGCCCGCACACGTAAAGCCTCATCCATAATGCAAGGGGCCTTAAAGGTCTTCCTCTTCCGTTTCATCCTAATTACAATTCAGTAAAACTATATATATATAAATATAACAAAATAAGTAAAAGATGAAAGGGTTCAGGTACGTCAAAGACGTTGTCCTAAAGTCATTATGCGCTCCCTCCGTGTAGGTTCTAACGATCATAAACGACTCCAAGATACAACCTAAAAACTTACAGGATCTAATACAATGCACAGTTGCACCAGAAGAATTTGCCAAGAATGTATTAATTGCCCAAAAATATGAAATATAAAATACTATAAAGAGAAGAAGGAGAGAGAGAAAACAGAGTACGTTATTCTTTCTTGAGTAAGAGTCCTATTTAAATAGACTCTTTAGTATCTGTTTGAAACAGACACACCTTTTAATTTAAAAACAAAACCAAATTTAAAATTTAAATAAATAAGACTATAAAAATAAATAAATAAATAAATAATAAAATAAAATAATAAATAAAAATAATTAAAGTTTCGAAGCTTTTAACAAATCTCTATCACTACCTCCCTCTTCATTCCTTCTAGTGCCGCCTTTCTCGGCTCCATGCTCCACCTCCCAATCCGCCATGCCCTGATTGGAACTGAGTTCTCAGATCCGAACTCGGTGACTCACTTCCCGAGTTACGCTAACCCGGTCCTTACCTCGCTTCTACCCACCCCGCTGTTCAACAAGGACGGCTGCTACGCCCGCTTACTGAACCACGCCAAGAGATTCAGAGAGGCCAAGGGCATAATCGTAAATGCATTCGAAGAGCTCGAATCCTATGCTTCTGGTCCCTATGGCAGCCGCCACCAGAAGGCGGGTTAGCGATACCGACCGATGCGGCGGCGATCACGAGGTCTTGTTGCCGGAAGGGTTTCTGAAACGGACGGAAAACAGAGGAATGGTGTACTGGTGGGCACTGCAGACGGCAGTGCTGGGGCACGCTGCGGTTGGAGGGTTTGTGTCGCACTGCGGGTGGAACTCGATTTTGGAGAGCTTGTGGTTTGGTGTTCCGATTGTGACATGGCCGATCTACGCAGAGCAACAGATCAATGCGTTTGAGATGGTGATGGATTTGGATCTGGCGGTGGAGCTGAGATTGGATTATAGGGATGAATGTGGTGGTGGGAGCTACGGCTGCGGCGGAGCTGAGTTGGTAGCGGCGGAGGAGATAGAGAGCAATGAGGGGTGTGATGGATAGTGGGAATCTGTTGAGGGAGAAAGTGTGAGAGATGAGAGAGAAGAGCAGAGAGGCTATTATGGAAGGTGGGTCTTCGTTTAGTTGGTTAAAGCCATTGGTTGATGATATAGTGGGAAACGACTGATCACGGAAAGTTTGTTAGAATTTTTGGATGGAAAATTTATTTCTCCCTTAAATTCACTTTATATTTCAATCATCAATTTGAATAATTATCCTTGACTAGCCTATCACCCGTGGAATTGGGGTCACTGTTGTGGCAAAAGTACAGTAGTGACTATTATACTTTATTTTGTGATGTATTATGGAATTATTTTTATGAGCTGAACCGTTCATTTTGTAAGGTTTGTTGAATACTTCAAGTCTATCAAAAATCATATTAATTGGATACCAATAACTATATGATTGATAACCAAAAAAAACAAACAAGAAGTTTTTCTTTTGAAAAATAGTATAAAAATATGCAATTCGATCATATAGTTGTTGATATCCGATTAATATGATTTTTGGTAGGCTTGAAGTACTCAACAAATCCTACAAAATGAACGGTTCAGATCATAAAAATAAGCCCATAATGCATCACAAAATGAAACACAACAGTCACTGCTGTGCGTTTGCCACAGTAGTGACTCCAAGTCGATCACCCGTCCTATGTACGGGATAATTATAAATATTTTTATTTATTGTAGATTTTTTTTAATA